ACGAGCAAGAAAAAATAGACGCGAGCTCCCTTCACCTGAGTAGAGATGTCAAATCTTCAAAATTTTAATAATGATGATGTCCAGTGTATTTCAATTCATATCTTATGAAGAGGAGAAAAAAAGTTATTTCCAATAATCTACTGTGATGTATGTACGATTTGTCTTCTAAAATTTCAATAAAAGAGATGAAAAACATTTTGTAAAGAAAAAAAAAGAGTTTTCACATGATGAACTACGCTTTTAGATACCCTCAGTTTTTATTTGGGGTGGATTTGAATATCTCTTTTCAAATATTACGTAATTCTTATGTAGCCTTGGGTTGTTTTTGTTGCTTTTTTTTTATATTTAAGTGCAACTTGAATTGACTTTTAGCTCACTTGAGGTACAAAGACACATATAAGCCTATGAAAAAAAAAATCATATCCAGTGTTTGCCTGTCTGTATAATTGCCGTGAGTTCTGTTGTTCGTTAACTTTAAAAAGTAAAAATTGTCTATAGATTTTCTTTTCGTCGATTTTACTAGGGCAGTTCAATAAATTCTGTTCTGAACACTATGACACATAAAACATATGATTTAACCGTGGCTTTTTTTCATGATTGAATCTTTAATAAATTGATAACCGTTTATGTAACCACGTTTCTTCATTGAGTTTCACTGTGAAAAGCTGGAAAACAAGGATATTGGAGATTTGTTTACTGTATTAAAAATGAATGGTAAAGAAAGTAAATGCATGTACTAAGTCAGTAGTAAATCGGAAATCAGGAATGAGGCTTCACTAAGTATATAAAGCTGCTGTAAAACTTGTTTTCCTATATATGGCGATGAAAAAGAAAAAAAAATACGAGATTATAATTGAGTATAGATTTACATGATATTTGTTATTTACGTTCAAATTCAAATTTTCAAAAGTGCTTCAAACTTTGACCTTTACTCGGCACTCTGGAACATTGAGCAGTGAGGAATCTTTATCATACGAACGTCTGCCGTCTCACGGGGCCTCGGTTAATAAGATCTCATCCGAAGGACCCGCAACTTTCACTTAAAGTGCCGAGCGCCTGACAGTTGCTTCCCATTTTTTTTATCGACTTAGGTCAAGCACCACCGAGATTGACTCACGACTTCCCAATAACGGCGCAAGCGCTCTGCCGACCGTGCTACCGTGCACAGTGACAAAATTTTAAAGATAAACCGAAGCAAAGGGAATCAGGTGAGTGTTGTAGTCTCCGCCTCTAGTGTTCTTATGTGTCACTGTGGTTGAGTCCTTTGTCTACAAACAGGTGTTTTAAATTGTACGTAAATTAAAGATTATTGTGGTATAAAATGATGTTTTGCTACGAACTTAAAACAAGCTATAAACAACAAAAACGCCTTGAATGAAACCCTAGATATAACTACTTACTTTATGTGTACATGTACTTAAATTCAAATATCAAAACATTCGTATATATCAGCTTTTAGTAAACTTTTACAACATGGGCAAAATGGGAAAAGAGGAAAAAATAACGTAAATTCAACATTAAAATTTAAACCCAGTTTCTTAAGATTACATATATTTATTTTCATTCCACTCTATATTATGTTATTATCAGAGTTAAAAGGCTAGTCAAATTTGTGCAATACAATCATATCAAGATTTATAGAAAACCGAACCAGGATGTATTTTCTTTGGTACGCAGAAGATTCTGGAATTTTAATTTAAGGATTGGTAGAGGATAACACCATTGAAGATGATTGTGCTTGCAATGCTTGTTGTTAATTGATACTCATCGGTAAGAGATAACATCACGGAACATTTGTATCTTTTTAAATGTTAGTATTTAAATTAAATATTTATTATTTATCAAAATTTTAGGACATTGAAAGATTTTAAAATGCATGACAATGGGCTTAATTATGGCCTATGTACAGGCTTCATTTCAAATCATGCAATTAATCTCAAGGAACAAATTGCAGCTTGTGTACCGACTAGAAAAAAGTTGCATGCAACAATTTTCGATTGTTGACACATGATGTCTGATACACTGATATAAGATTTTTAATTGTTGTTATATTGAGTTCTTATTTACAGAAATCCTTTAGAATTAAAACCAAAAGTCAATTAGAGATTAGTCAGATTATTGCTGCAATTGCATTATAAGAAACTTGATTAATTTATTACCAGAATCAACGTTCCTGATACAAGCATAACTTTGGTAAAATATTTGAAGGAAGGAAACTAAAATAGTTTTATCCAAGATTGGAACGACTTATAAACTCGAAAAAAATAGGTTGGTTCAACCATTTCTGATGAAGGAGCATGCATTAAGAATTAGGGGGAGCGCTCGCGAATGTTCGCTTGGTTGAACACACATCCGGTTTTGGAAATTGCGTGGATACCCGCATTCAAATGGGCGTACAAAATTAAAGGTATTGGAAATGGGTATTTCCCATGGAGTTTTGCAAATGCATAATACAAAGAAATATGATAAGAGTCGGCTTAATTTTTTATTACATTTAAATAACAATTAGAAAAAAAGAAGGGGATATCATAAAAAGACAGTGCATTGGACTACCGGTATTCATACATCACTTGGAAAACTTCTTTGAGGTTTGTTCATTTTTAGTTTCCTATGAAATTCTTAAAATTTGATTCGACTTATGTTCGTTTTTAGTTTTTTTATGATATAAAGTTGTGAAAATTTGATTTGATTAAAAACCATCACAAAAAATTATATGCATAAAAAAGACGCTTCTGGTATCGAGTTAAATTTGTGAATGGTATCAATAAAAACAATGGTTTTTTCGGTTTGGTAGTTGTATTTTACGAGTACATTTAACTACAATGTAGAACATTTTTTGAAAGAAAATTCATTTTAGTTGCATACTGTTTTATAATGCTCCCGTAATCAAATATTCGGGGGTATGTACATGTAGTGTTTGTCCTGCCCGTCCGTCAGCCTGTGTGTCTTGTTTCTGAGGCTCTATTTATCTACAGAAGCTACATGTACACATATTATAACGGCTTTCACATTTCAAAGGTGTACAAGACCTTTCTTGGGTACCAGCATTTTGACTTCTTGACCTTGAATACAAAATGCATGTTTAACAAAACATTTGGCAATATTATGGAGTTTTAAGGGGTTTTAACTGTTCATCATAAGTAATACTGCAATATTCCGAAAAATAAATTCCCCTTTCGTTTTGAATTCCCTTAGCGAAACTAAAGCTTCCTGAAAATGACTTAAGTACGCATTTCCAAAGCTAGAGCTGGAAAATCTCAAAATTAAGGCGATTGAGACTTGTTAAAGCATAAATTCACTACAATACGCCTCAACAGGTTCTTGCGTATCAGAAGCAATAATGACCGTAGACCAGAAGCTGGAAAATCTCAAAATAAAGGGGATGGAGACTTGTTGATGCACAAATTCGCAGTGAAATATTCAATGAATAGAGTAAGCGTATCAAACTGTGAAATGTCACATGAGTAAATGTATTATATTAATTTATTCATACACATATAATGCCTTACATGCATGTAAATCTCGTGCGACTGTTCTTGTGTGTGATGCTTAGAAGGCCTTTTGGCATGTAAATCTTCTGCGACTTCCTTTGTGTCTGACGCTTAAGAGGCCTATTTGCATATTTATTTCGTGCGGCTGTCCATGTGTCCATGCTATGTGTCTGTCGCTACGATAGCCAAATGCATTTAAAGGTTCATTCTCTATAAGGCCGTTTTCCGGCCTACGATGAAATTATCTAAAAATGTGTTATTATGTTATTATAATCCTTCTATTATATGATTTTGATACTATTTTCCCAACACCGATCATGTGAGTCACGAGATCCACAAATAAAAAATGGCGACCAAGCATAAAAATATTGAGGGTATGTCTATTTAAACTTTATTTTTATGCATATATTTTGAGATAATGTAGAATAAGTCATATGAATATAACGTAAATATATTGTATTTGAATTTTAAATTTAAAAAATGTACAAAATAATGTTGAAATTAATGCAACGTGATGCAGATTGTTGTCCATTAACAATTTGCATATTTTGACTTTAAATCTTTAGAAAATGCTCACCTTATGACAAAAGTAAATCTCTCATTATCATTTACTTGGCAAAAATACTTTATTTTTGAATCAATTGTTATTGTGTGTCATTAATTTACATATTTTACCTATATTTCATATAAGATCCCGTATTAAAAATACGGTATCGAATAACCTGTAATAATGTGGTTTAGCCAAGAAAACCCGCATCACAGTTTGTATTTAGATCAAACAAATGAGCGATTATTGTTAAAAATACTGCTATTAAAATACTTAAATGAATAAAAATAAATGCGTAAAAATATTTTTTTAAAATTATTTCTCATATAGTTGACAGGTATCATATAAATAATCATGAATAGGAAGTGCTGATGGCCTTAAGTGTACGTATTAAAGGGGGTATTAAAAATTCCTGAAAACGAATTAAAATCACGTATCGAATAAATATATATAAATTTAGGTTTATAATTAACAACAGAACGAAAACTTCTGTATTTCAGGATTTAAATTTAACTAAACATACATTTACTCTGGATCATCTTCAGACAACCAGTCACAATCTGCCGCGTCTTTTGTATAGTCAAAAAGGGGTCGTGGTACCAACTTACTATCTTGATGTCGCTGGAAGGACAAATACCACAGCACAGCGGCAATATGTGCACAGCAGCCTAATGTGCGAGCTCCTGGTTTACACTGACAATACCAGCCTGTTATTGGATTTCTTTTCTCGCAATAATACGATATCCATGGTATGTAAGTTTTTGAGGAACTATGTCTTGATTGTAACTTGGCCTTCAATAGTCCATCCTCTTGTTTGTGTACAAATAATTCATATTTCCCTTCAGGTGATAAATGTTCTATTGTATAAGCCTTTGCCTGCTTTATTTGATATACCCCAACGGTGATATCTCTAAGATCATTCTCTGAAAGAGGGGGAAAATCCTCCATATCAAAACCATCAACTGACTCCCATACACTTCTTTTAGCTGCAAGCTTTTCATGTTCCACCCGTTTTTGTAATTCATTAGTTGTCTTTGATCGGAATGACATTCGAATTGCCAGCTCAGTGTCCTCAAATTCAGAATTTCTCATCGGAGGTCTGTACTTATTGCACAATGCACATACAATACGTACATAATCACCGACAAATTTTATCTGTGTATTTGGCATCACTTGACCCAAAGCTTTCCATCGCTTCATCCTTCCATTCACTGACTCAACAATGTACCTTTGTTACCATTCTGGACTCGTTTGCCTCTTCAGTAGAGTGCTGTTTTTTCCCTTTTTCTAAGTAGCACGGCATCTGTGTTCGAAACCCCATTTGTTGTAAAAAATCTCTGCAATCTCTAAATCCTCTGTCCAGAACGAATATATCTCCATCTGAAAGCCAAGATTTCAATCGTTCGGTATCATTCTTCATTATACTGGTTAAAATCGAAGCATCATTATTGCGTCCATCTGCTAAGTAAGAACCAATAGCATCTAGTATGTAACCATCTGTACCCACTATCATCATTGGCTTCAGGAGCGGTCGATTTTTGTAAGCACTATATGTTCGGCGCTCGTTTGAACTTTTTTCAATGTATGTACCATCTACAACAAGGGCTGCGACATCTTCACCATCTGCAAATAATTGCTTTACGAAAGGATTAGTGTGTTCCCTAATAAATTCGTCCCTAGAAACATGCTGAGTGCCCAGATACTGAGGAACAAATTCTTTCATTAGCACAGCCCTTGCACTGTGGATTGCTTTTGATATGTACTGTACATTAGGTATCTGGAACATACTGCTCATCACTTTAAGGGACACCCCTGTATGCAGTTTTGTCAACAGAAGCCATAAACATGTTCTAGCTGATCTGACTGATGTGTTTCTCAGTGATGGAAGGTATGTTACCAAGTTGTCAAATTGCTGTTAAGTGAGACCTGTGAAATGGACATAATCGGTGTCTGATAGACCAAGAGGGTTATCAAAGTCGATTCCCTTCGGCTTGTTCAGTACATTCATGCGAACATTGTACAGCAAAGTCATAAGATCTGTTCTGTTGAACATGGTATGATCTGTCACCTTCGAGAGCATTTGTTTGCATTCATCTTTTAACCTACCCTCACTCAAATGTTTCTGGCAACACCTTGTACCCTCTGGTATGATTGTACCAGTTTCTATGAAAAACATGGTCCTCATGTCTTCATTTATCACAACGAGATTTTCTCGTTTATTACAAAATTGACACTTTGCATGTGAAGACATACTACGAGGGACTTCTAACTTGATAACCTTTGGACTACCAAAGGATGAAGAAGCCTGTCCTTTCTCCGCGTCAGTATCATTTTCTTCACTTTCATTCTTGTTCTGTCTTGATGTGATGTAATCATAGAGTTCTTTGTTGGTAGTCTCTTTGATATATCTTGAACCTGATGAACTACGTAGTCGTTGGTTGCAAATGCAACAGATGAGGTATTGCTGAACTTTACAGGATTCCATAAGTATGAAAAAGGGTATTTGCCCCTACTCAGGTCCGGATTGCGTTCTCAGCACGGCTGAGGCAATAAAAGCCAGGACACTGTCCCTCCCGCTCACCGGCACTCCATAGAAACCCGCAAGATTTTCAACAGCTCCTTCCACTACCCATTTAGAGAGCTTCAGTATGTCTACGATCAAGCAGATTTCTGCAACTTCCAACCAAGAAGTATTCCCCTGACTTCTGGTTTGCTAAGCCAGAGTCGCAGTT